ATGGTACTGTTCCATACAGACACACATACTTGCATACACATGTCAAATTTCGTCTTTGGAATGAGTAGGAAAATGGTTGAAAAACACGTATACTCAATTTGCAAACACCGTGTTAAGGGAAGAGTTTTTCTTAAAATATCTGAACTATTTCTTTGCCATTTATAATTTTAAGTGCTGAATTTCAATCATGTGATTATTAATAAGGTTTGGCAGTGTTTCTGAAATGTGTGGGATGATTTGATTTGGGATGATTCAAGCCTTTTTGGATTTGGTGGCTCCAATTTTATATATATATCTGTCTCTCATCTCATTCAGACTTTACTCTCTGAGAGAATAGAAGAGTAACATTAACATTATATATACATTTACGTAGCTTTACAGTTAACCTCAGCACTTACACTCCGGACAAACTGCTGCTGAAAACAATGCCATGATCTTAATGCTACTGCAAAGTTAAAGCTAACTCTTGTCTAACTTCTCGTCTTGGTAAAGACTGATGACATTTAGGCATTTACATGATGTGACTCACCAGAAGGGAACAGTTGTTGAGGAGCACTTTCTATGTACAGCTGAGGCTCACTGGGTTCCAGTAAAAACAGTCTCAGGAATCTACCCTGAGGCCTAAGTATGATCTCACTTCTGGAGTTCAACCTGATCCCTGTAAACAATACATTTGTTCAACAATTGGCAGCTAAAACTCTCTGGCAAACAGTCAGTCTGTTATTACTCCATTTACAGTACCAGATTTGTGGTTTGTAAGACAGTGGCGTCAACATGCTAAGCAAAACAATATCCACGGAGTTTCTTGCCAAAGAACAGTGTTGCAGTAGAGTTATACACATAAACATTGGCATCAGGCACTAGGAAATTTATTAACACAATTTATGTTGGTGTTTTGGCAGTTACTGGAGCTGTTTTAACTCCACTGGTCTAATTATATTTCTTTTGGTTAATGGGTTCAGATTAGTTCTTGTTGGACTAATGAGAGTGAATTTAGAACAAGCTATAAAAAACCGTGTTATTAGCAGTTTATGCTGAGCTGTGGAGCAGAGTACACACCTGTACATTCAGCAGACACACAATCATGCTATTAGTAGTAACACAGTCTTTCTGCCCTGAGGCAACAAAGAAGAAGCCTGGCATTCAGGACATCCAGAGATTTTTTTTTTTTTTTTTTTTGAAAAAGTGCACAGAAATAAATGCACAGCCATTCTCAGTGCAGTTCTCCTCTGCAGTAACCTAAGGCAGCCATGATTTAAGGCCTCTAATTAACTTGCTAACTGTGAATCTATTGCAGCTCACATTTTCTCAGTGCCTGGAGGAGCAAGGCAACGATACATTTTAAGACAGAGGAAGAGATATTGAGGGAAGAGAGGTCAGGGCATGGGTGAGGAGATCAATGAAAGGGTTGTCACAAGGGAAAAGAAGAATTGGTCCAAAACATGGGCTTCATCCAACCACACAGCACAAATGAATTAGAGGAGTGCTTCCTAACATAATGCTAGAGGAGGATGAGAGGGCACATCCTAGTGTGACATGCTAATTTATGGAGATGGAATGGCTTGTCTGTTTTTCCAGGTTACTGCTTGGCACCACAGAATTAAAATCACCGGCGTTGACTGTGAAGAATGGACTGGAGGCTGTGAAACTGGCAGGCTGCGATTTGTCATGTCGCAGCAGGCCAAGAAATGGCCACGGGTGTGAGAGGTTGAATAGTAAGAAGAGGGGACACACTGAGAGGACAAAACAGGATAGACAAGACATAGAAAGGACGGGATCTGATACGAGACTACTCGACTGTCAGCCAACAGTGTAGTTCATTTTGCATCCTAAGACGGTTCCATCCGAGAGGTAGAAACACAGATTAAAGTACAGTTACACATATGACACATGCAGGTAGCATTGGGTCTTGCCAGTCTCTTGCCCATCTTGGGTAAAAAGTTGAGACTGAAAATTGAACCCAAATGTCGTTCAGTAGTATGTGCTACCCTAACATATGTAAAATGAAGGTAGCAGTAATGATAGAAAAGATCAGTCTCGTGTAAATGCGCCTGGCCTAATTCCATATCTTCATGATAAAACTTATGAAGCAGGGAGAAATGTGGGCTGAGCCACTTAATTAAAATCTATGGGCATGGCCTCGTCCAAACAAACCGCATCACTTCTATCAGAGATGGATGATGCTGACACCTCTGAACCACTGGTGTAAGCCTAATGTAATCTTTAAGACATCCTTTGGTTCTAGGTCACTGTAGCATTTAATTAACATTTCCAGTCTAGTTTGCAAAGAGAATTACTGTATGTTTTTCACTGTGCTGCATTACATTACTTCTGTTTGGTATAAAGCACTGCTCTATCAGCACAACATGTTACAGTGCTGACAGTTCCAGTGGAGACTTTTCAACTGGCCAGCTTTGAATGAGTATTCTTACCCCCCACTGTTGTGAAAATTCAGCCAAATGAGCTCACAGAAAGAGTCGGCTGGAGAAATCCTTTTATCATTGCACACTAGATATTATTGCTGTATTACTGCTAGAAATGTTTCACAAATTAGGATGAAAGCCAGTTAAATGCTTTTATAATGGTATGTGCTCAGACTTTGACCACTTCTACAGTAGTTTTACAATCCTGCAGTATATCAGCGAAGTGCAAGAAGAGGTCATGAATTAGTGTCTTTTATAGCTTGGGGCTTGTAACAGGTTTCATTACCTCCCATGTGAGATAAAGGATGTAGAGCATGCTACTGGTTCATGGCGTCCTGGAAACTGGGCCACCAGGACATCTGTAGTAGTCAAACACAACAGTGGCCTCCCCTCAGATGGACTGATACGGTTGTATGGTGCTGGATGCCTCGGCCAGTTTCCACTCCCAGTACGGGAACTGACGGGGGACAACAAGTTTCCACTAAGACATCAGGCATGAATGTCCTTCAGTGTTTATTAACACAAGTTGACTTAGCCCACAGTGGAGCAGAAGCAGCTCTCTGACCCAGTGTTTTACTGGGTTTACTGATGTTGTTGTATTAACCACAGTAAAAAAAACTTGAATTTCAAATTAAAAGTTGCAGCTTTACCACTAATACATACAACTTCCTTTCCAATGTGATTTGCTGAGCGACTGCTTCTGTGGTACAGTCACAGTCAAGGAACTGACTGAGTAAAGTTAGTTTCACAGCAAAATATCCATCTAACATCTGTAGATCCCAGAATATACTGACTTGACCACAGGTGTTTATTAATTCAGCTTTCATTTGTAAGACGAACTTGTGTTATTTAATTTTCATATCTATACAATGTTACTTCAAATAAATGTAATTATTTTGCCCAGTTAATTTAATCATGTGTTTGAGTTCAAAGCCTTTGGCAGCGCCGTATACGTATTTATTTTTAATAACGTTCCAGCCCGGATTACAGATCTCAAACTGTTGAGTTTGTCTTTCTGAAACTTGCCGACACCCTGGGCAGATTAATGAGATTCCAAGCACACCCTTATATATCTGTCTTCAGTGTTATACTTTATACCTGCACTTCACTGGCTTGTGTCTGTTTGGTTTGCACAGCGGCTTTTCCCCGCTGTCTTTTGCTTTGTTCTCCTTAACAGGGACTTAGTGTTTCTCACAGCAGGGCTGTGGGAGGGTTTGGGGTGGACAGGGTTGAGATGCAAAGGTGTGTGTGTGTGTCTGTCTGTCCGCCTCCCTCCACCAAGAGAAGGGATTTATTGTTCATCACAGGGCTTATATAAGGATTGAAAAGATGGAGACAGATCAAGTTGTTGACTTAAGGAAGGTGGTGAAAAGGAATAATGCTGTGTTCTTACAGAACGAGCTGGAACACAAACACACTGGAGGATATTTACTAAACCTGTCGCAAATTACCATCTGGTGCAAAAAATATTGCATTGCAGTTTGTTTTTTTTTTATTTAGCACATATTTACCAACACTAATAATGTTTATGAGCACAGCTGCCACGGTGTTAATGTGAATACACCTCCAGAGGAAGTGCAGAAGAAAGTCTAAGTTTACAGCGACTAAACTTTGATATGGTTGAAGAAATCAAACACATTTTGTAATTTCATCCACATCATCTTCCGCCAGTCGAATCATCTTTTATTTCATTCAGTAATTGAAGCATGGTTTTGACTTGAAAGCCTGTGGAAGTCCCTCATGTTCCCCTCTGGCAAGCGATGGGACTCTCAGACACCTTCCCCCTCCTCAAAGGTGTTCTTAACTCTGACGAGGTCTCAAACGAGGGCTAAGGATTTTACACCTGCTTTCTCCTGGTTGTAAATTTCAGCTGCGGTTCCCTTCGTCTCAGCAGCCGTAAATCAGGTGCTGAGGGTAATTGTAGAAATGTCTGGTCTCTTCTCCCTGATTTTTGCAGCCCTGAACAGGAACACCTTAAAATACATATTGATTGAGACCAAACACGCGAATTCCTGCGGTGCCACTTTTCTTCTGTTTGTCCACTGTAAAACACCACTGTGACTTCTTAGTGCATATGGACACGTGCAGTGTCAGTTTGTGTCAGAAAATGAGCTGCAAAACCTCAGTAAATATCCCCCACTATTTTCACTTAACACTGCGTTATCTATGCGTACATAAAACTTGTCATGTAAGGAAATCGCAGACTTTAGCTTTAGGCTAAAGCCAACAAACACACAGCTCCCAGTGTAATGAGGATCTGCAGTGATGGGATTTTGCCTCACAAGTTAAGTTCTCTGACCCTGAACTATGCCTGATGCTGCAGTGGTCCTCCCTGTGCTGGCTGATTAAATCCATGGTGTAATGGGAAACAAATTATGGCTTGTGCAGCATGATGAGTTGAAGAAGAGATAATTAGTATGTTCATCCACCTCTTTGAAGAGATGTGTGTGTATTTGACACTTCTCCCAATTCACAATCCTTCTCCTCCCCCCTTTTCTCATTTGTTGGATGTCTCCTCCTGCTTCAGCTTTCTCCCTCTGTGTTTGTGTGTGTCTCTGTTCCCATGTATTTGTTATAGTGCAGACATCCTGGTGTGTGTTTCACGATGTAGCGAGCTGTCGATACGTATTCATGAGTAGTTACTAGAAGCAGTCCCTCCAGAGTCATCGGTCCTCGGCCTGGAAGTGATCTGTCAGTGGCTCTAATGATCCAGCACACACACACACACACACACACACTTGTAGGTCTGTCCTTGTCAAGAATGGCAGGGCTCATAACTCTCACATACGACTTGGGACGCAGCTTTGTCACTAAAGCGTCGGGGAGGGGGTGGGGTTCAGCAAGTTTTGACTGACTGAGCATTAGACACTAGCGAGGATAAGATGTGCTCACAAAAAACAAAACAAACACACCCATAAATATGACAGAAAAGAGGGTAAAGAGAAAGTTAACTTGAGTTTTAGTGTCTCTGTTGTAACTCAGCCTTTATCCGTTTTAAGAATTTCTTGTCACTGCAGCACAAGATGAGAAATGCTAATGGCTTTCTACAATAACACAAATTACAGGAACAATTTAATTCACACTTCTAACTGTTGAGTCACCGAGAAAGAGTATTAAGATGAGTTTTGGAGATTTATCGCCTCTGTTCAGCTGCCAGTTCAGTATCAAGACAAGCAGGTTTCTGGTGCATGGGTTTTCTCATATGACTCATTCTGTATTCTCTTGTTATTGCCCATAAAATCTGTAAGAATGAATATGAAGTATACACAAGTTAAAACATGTTAATGGACAAATCTCCAACATCTCCCTCTATTACACACCTGCTGTGCTCCGTGGTGTCTTGTTATCTTGTTTTTAACACAAACCTCTGTCTGCTTCTGTTTCTCTCTGTCCAGTGGGATTGGCAGAAACTGGCCGTGGGCGTCAGGTGGCAGCAGCATCCTAGCAGAGTACGGCACCCTGCATCTGGAGTTCATGCACCTCAGCAAACTGTCAGAAAACCCTGACTTTGCTCAGAAGGTAACAAACCGTGGAGACTGGAAAGTGGCTCCTCATGCTCTCTACTTTATTTACTCATAAAATATTATGTCATATTGTTTGCGCTTATGTTCCATTTCTTTTAATTATTAGGTGATGAACATCCGGAAGGTCCTAAATCGTCTGGAGAAACCCCAGGGGCTGTACCCCAACTACCTGAACCCCAACAGTGGCCAGTGGGGCCAACGTAAGTCAGCATCCCTTCATCGTTTCCTGTCTTTCCTCTCTCCGGTAGCTCTTTGGCAGGGGATTGGTGATGCTGTGATAACCAGCATTTATTCTCCTGCTCCTTATTTTTGTCTTTGGACTTAAATGCTAGCATGCTAATTTAGCAGAATTTTTTTTTATTAATATACATTTACCAACTTGTTATATTCTATAGTTAAAAAGTTTACAAGCTGACACATGAACACAAAATTATTCAGATTGTCTCACAGTCACAGACATCAACCCTTGTTTTCTCTTGTTGTGGCAAATTATGGATAGCTGCAGAAACACAATCAGGAGGTCACAGGTGGTACTCGACATAAAGCTTCACTAATAAGACCAGAGAGCTTCTCATTAACCCCTACACATGCAGAACACACGATCAGTGCTGCTTCCATTTACTTTTTTAAACTAAAATATTCCACTTGCTGAATCACATTAAAGTAGATTTATATTGTGTGTGTTTTTTTTTTTTGGGATATGCCTTAGAGCTGCTTTTACTACAGTCAGCCATCCTTATAATGGTTACAGTTAAAGTAAAGGTATTTTAAGGTGACTTTGAGACTGATATCAGAAACATTAATAAAATTTGCATCTATTACTTGAAGAATGTCACTAAGGTTTGATCTCTTCTTTCCAAAGATGACACTGAAACACTAATGCATTCAAATTACAGCTTGTCTAGATTATTTTATGCTGATCTTTCAAAGAAAACTATCGTACACCTGGAATTTGTACTGAGGAAAAAACCCAGCACACATCATTCTCTTACTATAATCACTACACTCTCTCCAGAGTAGAGTCACAATTTGAAAGGTTTTAATTAGTTTGTAATTTGTCCATGAACCCAAGTTTTGAACATAAATGATCTTTTACCACAGTTTTCTCTTATTGGAACTCTTTGGTAACTACATGATGATCTCTTACCCAATCCTTTTATCATGAATAGAGATGAATTGATTTTGATCATCAAATGACAATTTTAATAGAAGGTTGAGCATTTCTTCTGTACGTTATCTGTGGTTTCTGATACAGGTGTTAAGCTTGGCGTCTAAATGACCCTACATTAGTTTAAATTAGCCAAAGCATGTAATCATTTCTGTTAAGGTATCAACAGAGGCACCGTTGGACCGGTGTGTCTTCCTTCGCTCTCTCTTTTCAAACCTCCTCCCTGTTCCAACCCACTTTTTACCCGTATCCAAAGTGTTTTCATCCTCACACCTTCCCCCCAACTCCGTTCCTCAGCATCAGTGCTCGCAACCATTTCTCTGTTCACACACTCGTGTTTCTGACAGGCTGCAGTAACAGGGTATAATTTTGAATCCATTATCAGACTTTTAAAATCTTTTGGCTGAACAGGTAACGATGGAGAGGGGAAACTTTGAGGAAGAAGAGAGAGTGAGAGAGAGAAACTGGGGAAGAACCTAAAGAGTTACAGAACAAGAAGCAGTAACCTGAATAAATGAGTGGAGAAACATGATGAATGTGACATGGCATGGTTTGGGTCCACTTGTCCACATGTCAAATGGAAGTCCAGATTTCTGTGGTCAAATCTTGAAGCCAGTTTCTGAACACAACATCAGCAACAGCAGAAAAATTGTTTTTCAGCCTGCTACGTTTTAATTTGAGCCACCTACCAAGAACCACAAAGATATGGCAAATTAGACCAGTAATGGAGTAAAAGCGGACATTGTTTGAAACGCTCATGCATATAAATAATACAGGAACATCATGTTTTGTGTTTCATTGCTGTGAGCCTGTGTTGTCTGAATCAAAAGGAAGACACAAGCACAAGTAGAAAGAGACTGAAATCACCAGAAAAGCAGAAGTAATGTCTCTGTAGTGCTGAGTTGTTCCTTTCATTTCAGTTTTGAAATGACTGGAACTTAATTATTTTTCATGCTTAATTATTCTTACAACCATTTTACCTTATAATAGCCTCATGTTGGTTCAGGCCACTCAGTGTGTGGTATAAAGTAAGAGTGCAGTTCTCACAAGAAGTGTGGTAATAAATTAGAAATCTTTTGATGCGGTTTTATAAATGAATCTTTCTTTTTCAGAAGCTTTTGCACTGATGTTTCATAGTGTCAGAGATTCAGCCCTTGTTTGGAGCACTGTTAATATGACTGATGGTTAAATATAGACCTGATTACTTCTATTATCTCATGCACTGAAATATTAAATAAGCCAATTGAAAGCTCATCCACAGTTCCAGTTATAATTGTTGGCATTTAGTTGACACTCTTAACCCGAGCCAGCGACTGTTTTCATCCAAGAATTTTATGCAAATTATGACATATTCAATTAGCAGCGCTGAATAGAAACAGCAAATTTCAACAAAAAAAAAAAATCCTCACACACTAAAAACGCCTGTATGCTCGTCTTAGTCAGAGAAGGGTTTGCATCTAGAAAGAAATTATGCAGTAGTGATGGGAATGCATCTGTTGAATAAATTATGATCTGAAGCTATTTGCAGCCTAATGTTGTCTGTAAAATATCTCTCCACCACAGCTTCCCAGCATCGCACACCCTGTCTCCTCCCTACACTGTACATACAGTATACTGCATGCTGTACTGTATATAACCTTGTACTGTGTGGTCGATTTGTTTTCACCAAACGGTTATTATGTCGCCATGTGTGGATAGGAAATGTTGATTTCATAGCATCCACCCTCTCTTTGCTTCTAATTATGTATCAGAAACACGTTTGTGCACGAATTTGTGTTTCACAACTTTTTTTAATCAGACAGTTGAAGTGTTGTTTGGCAGATCCTGATGCTCTGTTTTAAGCCCCCCCCCCCATCTAATGCCTTGTGCTCTTGTTCCAGGTTTAATACTGAACATGTGTTATCGGTTCAGAACCAAGCCATCTTCACCACCGGCCTCCTTTCTCTTCATTTCAGACTGATCACAGCTGACATTTAATCTGTGCGCTCCACAAACTGGGCTGCTCTCTGTTAACGACACATGCATATGGATGAGCCTTTACTGACAATCAGCAGGGCAAATATAAAAATACAGATCAACTGGCCGTAGGCTCACCTACGACAGCCGCCCCCCCAAACGCACACACATACCACAGCATATCATCAGCTGTAGATGCTGTATGTTCTCTTTATACTGCAAACATTCATCCATCCCACTGTCATGTGAGGTTGATCTATAGATGGTCTGACAATGACGGCCGTAATCTAAACATGGAGACATGTAGGAGGCCTGTTTATGTGTGTGTGTGTCATACTGTTGGTTTATCTGTGTTGCAGATCATGTGTCCGTAGGTGGTTTAGGTGACAGTTTCTATGAGTACCTGCTCAAGGCCTGGCTGATGTCTGACAAGACTGATGAGGAAGGCAAGAAGATGTACTATGATGCCCTGCAGGTAACACACACACGCACACACACACACACACACACACACACACACTGCTGGCTACACAGACAGCTCTTTAATAAGAGTTGAAGTGACTGACTCACTAAGGATGAAACTGAGGGCGGAATTATTCATAGTTTTAGTCAGAGACTTCACTAGAGCTGAAACAGTCAGTTGGTTGATTGGTTAGTCATTTAAAAGAGAATTAGTCTGCAGCTCTTTGGGTAGTTGATTAATCATTTGAGTCATTTCTCGAGCAGTTTTGGTCTCGTTAGTGAAGAGTTGCTGCATTTCTCTGTTTTATTTGTTACGAAATTGAACATCTTTGGTTTTGGACTGTTGGTCGGACTAATTAAGACATTTGAAGTTGTCACTGTCGGCCTGAAATTCAGTCATCTCAGTCAGCGTACATGGACATTTTTGTAACTTTAATAAAAAAATGTAATTGTAATAAAAATAAAACATTTTATTGAAGTTTTACCTTTCCGTCTTTCTCTGTTTTTATTATATCTTACAACCCTCCAACTAAAGATGAAGTGCAAAAGTTGTACATATCCAAATATAAACACGTGCAACAAGTAACTGAAACAAAAGAATGGCTTACTACTGAGCACATGGTTCCTTCTGAAGTGTGTATAGTTTGTATTTGCTGTGTTTTACCACAGGTTGGATGCACTGTACATATACATTTCACATGTAGCCAGTAATTCCTTCACTGTGTACTATGTTTCAGAGATTTGGACGTAGTTCCCCTTCTCTTTGTCATCCTTTGACTTTAGAAAGCTTAGTACAGTAGTAGCTCTTGCTCCTATAGAAACTCACAAATCTTTCATTTTAATTGTTACTTTGTAAGTGGATGACAAACAATTTTCTGTACAAAACAAACCTGTGAAAACAACAACTTTTCTTTTAGGACTATAGCAAGGCTCCACAGTTTTAGACAAGCTTTTTCTGATTGTGGGTTTCTCTTTTCATAGCCATAACTGGGCAACTGAAAGAGAAATCATCATTTGTCACCTGTCTGCAGGTCCTTAAAAGCACCATCTGTCAGTGGTGTAAAGCTGCCTTTCTGTCCCCACCATCACATCATGGTGCAGCACTACGTCTCCGTGGGCTGTAATTTCCAATCTGTTGCACTTCTTAGCACTGAATGTACTATATAATACAGCTCCAGTAACCTCTAAGTTGAATGGACACAATCAGGGCTTGAACACACTGTTTACAGCTGGTGAGCTGGATGTATGTTCTCTGGCTGTTTGATAATTTGATTTGATTTGATTTATTCTTTCAAGCATATAAAACAGTTGATATGACAACACACATAATTTTACACACAATCCAATATCAATTTGCTTATACCTAGTACATGCTTGAATGGAGTAGGAAGAAGTCAGACTTATCCAGTCCTACCCCATGACATCATCTTACCATCA